CGGAGTCGTTTACTCTCGCCGTGGTCGTTCGTCGTGGCCGTTCGTCCTTCCCCCTGGGCTCCCCAGGAGGGAAACGATCACAGCGAACATGAAGGGTTCCGCGGCTCAGGGCGGGGGGGGCAGGGAGGCCAGGGAGGTGGCCGGAGACCAGGGAGGGGGCGAACCACCTCGACGAACAATCACGACGGTAATAGAGGATTTCGCGGCCCAGGGTGGGGAGGCTAGGGATGGGGGGGGCATAGAGGCCTGGGGAGGGGACGAACGACCACGACGAAAATAAACATGTCGGAGCTCTAGAACTCAGCTATGGAAATCTTATACTTTCGTCGCGGTCGTTCGTCCCCCCCTGGTTTCCCTAGCATCCCCCCCATGGGCCTGGTCAGGGAGCTCCCTGGTCGTTCGTCCTCCTCTCCCCTCGCCTCCCTGGTCTCCGCCCCAGCCTCCCTAGCCTCCCCCCCGCCCCCCCCCGACTGCGAAGCCTTCATGAACTGCGCATCGTGTTCTAGAAGCTCGGACCTCGTATTTTCGTCCCCCTCCACTGCCCCATTCCGGAGACCCCCAAGAGACTGAGCCTCCGAGAGCTGAACCGGAAAAGAGCCAGGGCACGCCTGCAACTTGTTGTCGTCGTCGCTCGTCGTCCTCTTGGCCTGGCCTCAGGCCCGGCTCAGCCCCCAGCCTGGCCCAGCCCCCTCCGATCCTCAGCCTTCTCCGCTCGGAGCCCTTGATTTTCGTAGTCGTTCGTCGTCCTCCTGGCCTGGGCTCCAGCCTGGCCCAGGCCCACTCCCCTTCACCTGGAACCCATTCTTCTCGTCGTCGCTCGTCGTCCTCGTCGCGTGGCCTCCAGCTCAGCCCAGCCCCCAGCCTGGCCCAGCTCGCTCCGATCCCCAGCCCCTTCCGGTCGAAGCCCTTTCTTTCATCGTACTCTTGGCCCAGCCTCCAGCCCAGCCTCCAGCCAGTCCCACCCCCCAGCTGGGCTCAAACTCTCCCGCTCCCCAGGCCTCCGCCCGGAACCCTTCATTCTCTTGCGCATCTGTATTCTAGAGTTCGGAGTCCTTCATTTTCGTCGCTGTTCGTGGTTCGTGGTTCGTCGTCTCCCCTTCGTCGTCTTCCCCTCCTCTCCCCCCCTGGCCTCCTGTCGTATGGGGGCGAGGGCAAAGGCGAAGTCTCGCGGCCCTCCCCTGGCCCCCTGGCCCCCTTGCTTCCTCCCCACCTGGCCCCCTGGCCTGCAGTCTCGCGGACCCCCCTGCCCCCCCCTAGGATATCACTTTCGTCGTCGTTCGTGCTTCCTGCATCGTGGTTCGTGGTCTCCCCCCTCCTTCCCTCTCCTGGAGCCTCGTGCCCCCCCCCCCGCCCGCTGTGCCCCCCCTCCCTCGCTACCTCCTCCCTCCCTGACCCCACAGCCTGAAGTCTCGCCCCCCCCCCTCCCACACCTCCCCCTGATCAGTTACCCCGCCAGCGCTCTCTTGGAGTCGCCGCTCGTGATCGACCCTCTCTTCCTTCCCTCCCTCCCCCCGCTGGCCCACTGGCCTGCAGTCTCGCGGCCCCCCTTAGCCTTCTGTTTTCGTCGTCGCTCGGGGTTCGTGGTTCGGCGTCTTTCCCCCTTTCTCCACCCTTCACCCAGACCCCCTCGCCGGGAGTCTGTCCTTCCCCCCTGCCCCTCTAGACCCCCTCCCTCCCTCCTTCTCCCCCCCTCCTGGGCCCCCTAGCCTGGAGTTTTGCGCCCCCCCCCCTGCCGCCCAAGCCCCCTGGCCTTGAAGTAGCTTGCACTGCTGCGTTCTGGTGCTCTGAGCCCTGTATTTGATCGTCGTCGTCGTCGTCGTCGTCGTCGTCGTCGTCGTCGTCATCGTCGTTTGTCATCGTCCCCTTCCCTGGTCATCTCGGGATCTCCGTGAACCAACGCCCCCCCCCGTATCGGCCCCGATAGGCCCAAAGATAGTTCAAGATATTTCCTGGATGGCCCTCCAAAGACTCGCACTCCTCGTTACTCTCCTCGTGCAAGAACCAGGGCATGCGTGTCACTTGTTATCACGGAGGGGGTATACCAGGCTCATCACAAGCAGCAGGTGTGGGTGGCATCTCCTTTTGTGACGATCATGACCCTTGCGCAGGCCCCAGTTCTCGTACATGCTGGGAACCAGGCTCGTCACCTCAGGGCAAGCTTTCCCGGCAACAGTGCAGATCCAGGACTCTCAGCGGGGCTTCGCGAGTCCGATAGAGCAGGACCGCGCTTTCTACGAGACAGGGCTTCGGTCGTCCGGTAGTTAGCAATCTAGGAAGCTTGAAGAGGAAGGCCATCTCGGATAAGAGCTCAGAAACAACCCCACCCACAGTGCCAAACCGCCCCAGTGTGGATATCAAAGGGGGGGCTGCGGGCCTGGTTGCGACGTATTTTGCTTTGGGAGGAGGAGAGTGCCCCCCGCAGCGTATCGAAGGGCAGGGCGGGAGGCTTGCAAGCTGGGGTGCACATTCTGTGCCGCGTGGGGAGGCGCATATCCAACCCTGCGTTTCCAAAGCGGGGCCTAGGCGTTTTTCCCGAATTCTGTTTCTCCTTCCCTTTCTTCCTTGAAGGTGCTCAGCGGGAGCTGGTGTGTCGGAGCCTTTATCCTTCCCCTCGGCTGGGAACGAGCGTGCGCTGCACTGGCTCGGCCCCGTGGTGCCCGCGGCGGGCCAGAGGGGAATTTCGGGAACGTGCTGCGTGTGGGAGCGTAAATCCGGGTGCAGCTCTTCTTTCCTCCCGCGAGGGAGGGAGGGACGGAGGGATGGAAGGGAAGCTGTGGAGCATTACATTTTCCAGACACGTTTGGGGCACGAACACATATCGACTGGTGTGGCAGTGCCTTTTCGAACGGCGCCGCCGCCGCATTGATGCATGTGTCGAGGTGTTGGCTGCGTTCGAGCACAGCTATACCTTTGAGGCCCTTGGCGCAGGCCAACGCACACCAGAGGATTCTGGGCGTTCCCGATACCTTGTCAGGGTTCCCAGATCCCCAGGGAATTTCGCGGATGACGGAATCCATTGGCTTCTCTCGAGTTCTACTGGGCTCGTTTCTGCAAGGTAGCCTCCCTACTGCTGTCGCCCGTGGATTCTCGCATGTCCGATTCGGCATTTCCTGTCTCCCAGCTGCCCCCTGGCTTAGCCGCGGCTGCACCACGCCTACGGGCAGCCAGCTTGGTGGTTGACCATTGACAAGACAACGCGAGACCCCGCATGCTCGGGATCGGGGGCCCAAGGGCGTTGGCGGTTTTGGTGGGCAGAGATGCCCAGGTGCCCCCCGCAATGGTGAAACAGCTATTATCCCACATCGCCGTCCACAGTGGGCAAATGACGACATCAGCGATTGGAGTGCCTGGGGCACTGGCTATGAAGAACTCGCGTCTGAGCTCGGAGGAGGTATCTCGGGGCAGCTCGGGGCTGGCCCCGGGCCAGGTCTGGAAGCTTAATATGGTGGTGTAGCTCGGGCGCCGAAAAGGGGAGAACGCCAAAATCTTTCACAAACCGGAGGATGATCCACGATTTGGGCCTCTTGGGGCCCTCTTGGGAGGCCTCTTGGAGGCCCGTTGGGGCGTCATGCAGGCCTCTTGGGCCGCCTGGGGGTCATCTTCAGCGTCTTGGAGCGATCGTTCGGCCGCCCGGAGCGGGCGTCGCGAGGCACGCCGCACGACGGCGAGGCATCTGCGGGCGCGGGGCCTTCCTGCCCGCGCGCGGGCTCGTCTCAGCAGGCGGCCTCCGAAGCCTGCGGCGGTCGCCCTGCCCTGGCTCGCCCGGTGCGCCGCCTGGCCTCGCCTGGGCCTCGCGCGTGCGTCTTGTGTTTCCGGGCGTGGGAGTGGACCCAGCCAGCAGCGCGAATCGTTTATCCATCATCGATTGTTTGATCAGACGAAGAGTTCGATTGTATGATCGAGTTAGAGATGGAAATCGCCACGAAGAAGAACACTGATGATTTTGATCGTATAAATGAGCGTGCCGCTGGTTCGGACGCAACTCCTGGGAGGTCAAGTTCTGACTCTTCCCTGGGCTGAAATCCCGCCTAATCCGGCTGCATCCCGTGAAATCTGGCCTAATCCCGCGTAGCCCGGCCTGATCCCGCTCAATCCGCGGCCTAATCCGGCGCAGCAGCCCCCCAATGGGGCCTGGTCCTTCCGGATCCTTCCGACGAAGACCTTCCAGCAGTTGCCTCCTAACGCGTGGGGAGCTCCATTGCGGAACCGGCAGCGCTCCCACCGCCCGCGGCTGCCCCGGCGGGCACCCGTGTGGACGGTCGTCCCGCGACTTCGCAACATGCGGATCCTGTCTGCGCATCTCGGCCGCTATAGGTCCGACCCCTTCTCTTAAGTCGGGCGCGTCCCTCTAGAGGAGGAATGTTAAAAAATAGTCAAGAAACAGTCGGGGGACGATTTTATGACCGTTTTTGCATATTTTTGGAGCATTTTTGGAATATCTTTGATTTTTCGTCCAAAATCCCCCTGTATGAGGACATGCCCGACCGAAACCTCTCACCATCGTTCAACCGATCCATCACCAATGGGCCATGGCATCTCAGCTCCACCAGCCCATCCCGCCAGGTGGGGATTGGTCTCGCGAAACCCGAGGGGAGCACTCACTATCCCCACCTGGGGGGGGTGAAGTCGGCCAGTGGGGCCATCGGACCTGCTGATTGCCCCACCCGACGCGAGATGTCCAATTCCTGAGAGCCATCACGACGTGACGAAATCCTCACGCCGCAGTTGCTCGAGCATCTATTTCTGCCGGGCGTGGGGCGGCTCGCCCTCCCCATCGGCCGCCAGAGTGCCGAAGTCTGCGCAGCCGCCGTCGCAGACATCATGGCGCAATTTTTCCGCCTGGTGACCGCGATGGCCGCGATTGGCGCGGCCAGGGCTGTGAAGGAGCTGTATAGCCACAAGGAATACCAGGATTTAATGAAGGAGGCTGGCAACAAGCCGGTCATCATCGATTACTTCAGCGAGTCCTGCGGCCCGTGCCACATGATTGCCCCGGTCTTCCGGAAGGTCTCCAAGGAGTTCTCTGGCCGGGCCTACTTCCGAAAGGTGGACGTGAATCGAAATTCACAGACGGCGGGGGCCCAGGGCATCCGTTCTATGCCCACCTTCCAGTTCTGGCTGAAGGGTAAGAAAAAGCACCAGTTCTCCGGCGCCGACGAGCGCTCACTGCGGGAGTGGACGAGGAGGCTGGTCGAGGAGGCGGAGCGGGACGACATCGAGGTGACGCGGGAGGCCCTCGAGGAGTTCTACAAGAAGCACGACCCTGCTAAGGCCACTCCCGAGAGCCTCGATAAGATCATGGAAAAGAACAAGAAGGACTTCGCGACCATGGTGAGGCTTTTGAAAAAGAAGTACGGCGATGCTCCACAGACGCAGAAGCCCAAGGGCAACAAGAAGCCGGAAAAGGAGGAGAGCCCCAAGAAGGAGAAGGAGGATTCCAAAGGCGGGAAGCCAAATTTGGCGGCAGCTTCCCTCGAGGATTTGAGGCACGAGCTGGAGAGCCGTGAAGAGGAGGCTGCTGTGGAGCACCTGGAGGAGGAGGAGAGGCGGCTGACCAACAACCCGTGCAGCCTGAACCGTAACAGGACGCAGGGGGCGGTGGAGAAGGTTGTCATCATCGGAGGTGGACCTTCTGGCATGACTGCCGCGATATACGCCGCACGGGCGAACCTGTGCCCCCTCGTCATAGCGCCCAGCCTGGGCGGCCAGCTGATGGCCAAGGGTGTCGACGTGGAGAACTACCCAGGCATGCCGCGCGAGAACGGCGGCAAAATGATCGAGGTGATGAAGCGCCAGGCTCGCAGCTTCTTCACCGAGGTCTGGGACGACGCCGTCGTCGGCCTGAACACCACAACGGCCCTCGAATACAAACACACTGCACAAGCATAACCTCTCGGCGGTCCGCGCGGATTTCTTGCATCGGCGCTGAACCCCACTCGCTGGCGCGCGGAGCGCGCCAAGGGTGGCGCCGGCAGGAGGGCCCAGCGCCCACCCAAGAAGTCCGCGCGGACCTCCGGAAGTTTGTGTGTTGTGCAGCTTTCTCTTCCTCTTCGAGGCCCCCTTCGAGATCATGACGAACAAGTCCGGCCTGATCAGGGCGGCCACGATCATAGTCGCCACGGGGGCGGACAGCCGGTGGCTGTGGGCCGAGGGCGAGTACGAGTACCGCGGCCACGGCGTGTCCAGCTGCGCGGCCTGCGACGGCTACCTGTTCAGAAACCGGCCCTGCGCCGTGATCGGCGGCGGCGACACCGCCATGGAGGAGGCGCTCATGCTCTCCAGGACGGGGCCACCGGTGGCGCCGCGACCGGTGCTTCCTCCCTCTCCTTCTCCTCTTCCCGCATCCCCCCGGCACGCGATGAGGAGGTTGCCCAGCTTCTGTCTGGAGCTTGTGAGACGAAGAACGGCATGTAATGAACTCTTCAGCCGTCGGGGACGCCTGCCCCAGGGCGGCTGGACAGTTTATGCCCCGACGTGCCACTGTAGGGATTTACATTTTCCAGCCGCCCTGTGGCCGGCGTCTCCGACGGCGTCCCCTGTTGGGTGGCCTCCACAGGGAAACTCGGGCCCGACGAAAGGGGGGGATTGGGAAAGGGGGGGTTGCAAAATCTGCTGCATGGTCCCACCGAGGGGCCCATTCCTCGATACATAGCCGCCTCTGGCGCCGGGAGGCGCCAGGAAAATCAGCTACGCGAGCTGATTCTCAAACCCCCCCTTTGCTATCCCCCCCTTTCGCCCGGCCCGAGAAACCGGGGGGAGGGGTCGCAGGAAGGGCGCATCATGGGTCTGGGGGTGCGCTCCGAGGCCGCAGTGCGCTGCGGGGTGGGAGGGCGGAGGGCGGAGCGGAGGGTGGGAGGGGAGGCGAGGCTGGAGTGCAGGGGAATCGCAGAGGGGGAGGGTCCCTCCTCCGCCTCCTCCTCCTCCTCCTCCTCCTCCTCCGCTTGTATCCTCCTCCTCCTCCTCCATCCTCATCGTCCTCCTCCTCATCGTCGTCGTCCTCCTCCTTCTCTGTCCATCCTCCCTTACAGGATCTGCTCCTCCGTGGAGCTCATCCACCGCCGGGACTCCTTCAGGGCCAGCCTGGTGCTCCAGCAGCGGGTTCTCAGCAATCCCACCATCAAGGTGCGCTGGAACACCGTGGTCACAAGGTACGTCGGCAAGGAGGTCGGGCGGACAGGGAGAAGCGTGGGCTTTGCGGGGGGTCCGCGGAAGTCGTCGCTGGGTGCCCCGGGGTGCTTTGGGCGACGGGGGGTATTTCGATCATTGAACGTTCCTGGTCAGGTTTTTGTTCGATTCTCGCTTGTTGTGCGGAGGAGGAGGTGGAGACCGTATACAGGCCTGGGTGTTTGAGTGTTTTTGCGCTGGAGGCCGCTGACAAACACCCCCCTAACAAAACACGAGACAAACAAACAACTAAACAACACACACACAAAACAATTGCTATTTCGGGAGAACTTCTGGGAGTGGCCTCGGCTCAGGAACATTCGTCCGAAATCATTGTTCCCCAATCAGAGCTTGCCTCTGTAGGGGTCCTAGCGAAGTCATTTGGTTAGGTGAGGTACGGCGCCGATTTCGGCGGCACGCCCGGGTGCCCGGGTGCCCCCGGGTGCGCGGGTGCCCGGTAGCCCTGTAGCCCGAAGGCCCTATAGTTTTTTAGACTTATAGCCCCATAGCCCAATAGCCCTATAGCCCCATAGCCCTTTAGCCCTATAGCCCTAAAGCCCTAATAGCCCTATAGCCCTAAAGCCCTATAGCCCCATAGCCCTACAGCCCAATAGCCCTATAGCCCTATATCCTTATAGCCTTATAGGCCTAATAGCCCTATAGCCCTAATAGCCCAATAGCCCTATAGCCCCATAGCCCTATAGACCTATAGCCCTATAGCCCAATAATATCATAGCTCTATAGGCCTATAGCCCTATAGCCCCATAGCCTTATAGCCCTAAAGCCCGATAGCCCTACAGCCCTATAGTCCATCCGCCCAATAGCCCTATAACCCTATAGCCCTTACAGCCCAATAGCCCTATAGCCTTATAGCCTTATAGCCCTACAGCCCTATAGCCCTTACAGCCCTATAGTCCTCTAAAGCTCTATATGCCTATAGCCCTATAGCCCCATAGCCCTGTAGTCCTATAGCCCGATAGCCCTATAGACCTAAAGCCCTATGGTCCTATAGCTTCAGCCCCATAGCCCTATTGCCCTAAAAAAAGAATCGGATTATTTTCCGGTATCAATATTTGTTTAATGTTTTTGTTTTGAAATGTTGTTTAAATGGTGTATGGCGTTCCAGTCTCCAGCTGCGAGTGGCACAGGGTAGGAGGAGGAGGAGGAGGAGGAGGAGGAGAAGGAGGAGGAGGAGGAAGAAGAAGAGGAGGACCAGTGTAAACCCAAGAGTCATCAACGATGTTGGCATAAACCCTCTCTCCAAGCTCTTTCTTCACAGGCCCCACAAGGATTCGTTTCCACTGAGGGAACTGCCTCGTTGGAAGACAACCGTTTGAAGACCCTGAAGCATGCCAAAACATTTTTCTCGGGACTCCAACGTCACGGATCAACCTGACTGTTGCGTCTTGACGGTCCTGACTCGTGCCAGAGAGCCATTTTTGGGACGTCACCACCGTGAATCAACGTAGCTGTTGCACCCTCATAATCCTGAATCTTTCCAAATTGCCTATTTCTGGTACGTTGACCATGGGAACCTGTGAAACCCTTGTAATTGTTACAATGGATGTGCGCGGCGCTAAGGCGATATCCACATTTTGAAAACGAAACGCCCTCAATCCGTGAAGCTCTTGCACAAAGAATGTGCGCGGCGCGAAGGCGAGAACCACATTCTGAAAACGACCCGCCCTCAATCCGTGAAGCTCTTGCAGTTTTTTACAACGAATGAGCGCGGCGCTAAATCGAGAGCCACATTTTGAAAACGACCCGTCCTCAATCCGTGAAGCTCATGCGCATGTTTAAAAACGAATGTGCGCGGCGCTAAGGCGGGAGCCACATTTTGAAAACGACCCGCCCTCCATTTGTGAAGTAGTGCCTTGTGGCGCCTGTGGGCGAGGGTGATTGCCTTCGGGATGATGCGCCTGGTCGCCCTTATGGCGGTGTGGCTGTGTGATCTCTGCGTGCCACTTCGCTGGAAGGGATGAAGAGGAGGACGATGAAGATGAGAAGGAGGAGGAGAATGATGATGACGAGCAGGACCAGCTTCCCCCGATGTTCAGGGTACAATCAACCTGGGCAAAACTTCACCCAGGCCTTTGCGGGGCAGTCTGCCATCGCACGACACTGGCATTGTTGTTTGAAATTGTTTACTGTGTTTGCTGGCCCTCGGACCTGCAAGACGTGTCTTTTACAATGGTTAAGGACTCCTCAGGAAGGATTCGTGAGTATGGGTTCCTTAGCAATGGTTCCTTTGTAAGGGTTCCTTAGTCAGGATTCCTAAGTGTTCCTTGTTAAGCAGTCCGTGTTACGCATTCTTCGGCAAGTTTCTTTAGGGAGGAATATGTATTAAGGAACTCATCGGTAAGGATCCTTTTTGGAGAACTCTTCCGTTATGGTTCCTAAGTAAGGCGTCCTGTTGTACAGCATTTTCCCACACGGATTCTACAGAGAGGATTCTTTTGCTCAGAATCACGTATTGAGGAAGGATTCTTTATTCAGGATTCCTCAGGAGGACTTCCTCACGACGGCCTTGTATACAGGAGCCTCCAGCAAGGATTCCTTAGTCAGCATCTCGATTTGTCTTGCTCGTACAAGTACACTACATAACAAGTTTTCCTTTCTGAGGGCTAGCAACCGCTGTAAACGCATGTGTCTCAGGTTTGGTTTCCAGGTGTGGATCTATGCGCGGTCAGGTAGATCGATTCACAAAACCATGAAACACCTGAAGCACAGGTTTGCTGGTCCTCGGACCTAAAGCACATGTTTTGCAACGGTTGATGGTCATAACACGGTCGTGCGGAACCATTTTGGGGGCGCTCAGATAGTCATTTTTTTGTCTTAGAGGATAACGGGGGTCCTTCGTACGGATTTCTTAGGGATCTCCTCGGTAAGGAACCTTTCCGAAGGGCTCCTTGTTAGAGACTCATTATAAATGAATCCTTTTCGGAACAATTTTTTTGTGGTGGATTCTGCAGAGAGGATTTATTGTGTTCAGAATGATTCAGGAAGGGTTCCTTGTTTGGGATTCCTCAATAAACACAATTCCTTAGAAAGGGTCTGTATTCAGAACTCTTCAGTCAGGGTTCTCCAGTAATCGCTACATAGTAAAAGTTCGTCGCGGAGGATTTTCTTAATTCCTTCAGAAGGAACCCGTTGTATTTATTCGTTGGAACGGATTCCTCAGTATGGGTTCCTTAGCATTGGTTTCTCCGTACTATTCCCTCAGCAAGGATTCCTTAGTAAGGACTCCTTGATAAGGATGCGACCGTAAGGATTCTTCAAGAAGGGTTCCTTGTTTTTATCGGATCTATTCGGTAAAGATTATGTAAAGGGGGCCCTTCTGTAATGATCCCTTACTAAGGACATCCTCCGAAAGGATCATACGGTAAGGATTAGCCAAGGTGATTTCAGGCCACTTGAATGACATATTCCTTGTTCGGGTTTCTCAGAAATAGTTCATTTCTTAGGAACGGTTCTGCACCAAGGGTTCTTCAATACGACCATGTAACAAATACCAAGCACTTGTTTTGTTCTCTCTCTCTCTCTCTGTCTTTCTATAGCTTGGAAAGAAAAGTGAGGCGGAACGGCCCAGGCCTTTATGTGGTCTGGCGCTGGAGGAGCTGGATGAGGAGGAGGAGGAGGAGGAGTCGGAATGGGGTGAGCGCGGAGGCTTCGGCATGGGCGCCTGTGATCGGAAGATGCACTTCTGGCCGCCCGGAGGTAGAGGTGGAGGGCGGCGAGCGGCAGAGACAGCTGACACACCTGGAGCTCCAGAGCACCACCAGCCCGGACGCTCAGCCTGACACGCTCCCGGTGGACGCTGCCTTCGTCGCCATAGGCCACGACCCCAACACGGGGATCCTGAAGGGGTTGGTGGACATGGACGACAGCAATTACATCACCGTGGCTGGGAGGTCCACGCGCACTTCTGTGCCGGGCATCTTCGCCGCGGGCGACGTGGCGGACCACACTTACAGGCAGGCGATCACGTCGGCCGGATCGGGCTCGATGGCGGCGTTAGATGCCGAGAGGTATCTGTCGGAAAACCCCATAGACGAGGAGCACACGTGCGTGCAGCAGGAGGACGTGGCCAACCGCTGATTGTTGTACCCTCCTTGTCCGCCAGGCAGTCCCTTCGTTGCCACTGGTGGACTCGGTTCGAAAAATTGGTCGCGATTGTGTCCAGAAGAGTTTTGGAGGCTAGCGACGGAGGCAGCATGAAAAAGAGGAGGAGGAGTTGGGGCAGATGTAGTTTGAGCGGATGTTGGCCGCGAGAGGACTTTTCCACGTGGTCGCTGAAGGACCTGAGAGCACAGATCAAGCTGTTGGGCGTCAAGTGCGTGGCGTGCTCAGAGAAGCAGGACTTCGCGTCAGCCTTGATGGCGGCGTATTGAGGTCCTTCATTCATCAGACATGTTCAGTTGGGGCGGGGCGAACAGAGATAGGACTATCTATACAATAACGGGGGGCCAGGGCCAGGGCCCCCTGGGCCGGAGCCTGGACTAGTGACCGGTGTGTCGCCCTTCCTCTGGGCCTCCACGAGGCCTCAAGACGGCCCAAGAGGGCTCCCGGAGAGCTCCCAGACAGCTGAGAGCCCCAACACGGTCCAAGAGGGCCCCGAGTCGCCGAATGATCGCTGGAAGACGCCCAAGGTGGCCCCAAAACTGCGCAAGAGGCCTCCAAGGCGCCTCAAGCTGCCGACAAGAGCAGTCCCAAGAGGGGCCCAAGAAGCTAAAATCATTGATGTTCCGAAGATTTTTGACGGATTTTTGTGTTATCGCCTCTTCGGCTCCGCGACGCTCAAAGACAGTCCAAGAGGCTCCAAGATCGGTCCAAGACGGCCCAAGAGGCTTCCAAGAGGCCTCCAAGAGAGCCCCTAAACGGCCCACGAGGGCTCCAAGACGGCCCAAGAGGCTTCCAAGACGGCCCGAGAGGCCCCCAAGATGGCTCCAAGAGGGGGCCTAGACGGGGGACCCCAACGGACATTCCGATCCCTCGGCCCCAAGAGGCCCCCAGGACGCCCCAAGAAGCCTCCCAGAGGCTCCCAAGAGCCCCCTAAGACGACTTCAAGAACATTTTCAAGAGGGCCCCAAGAGGCAAAACTTCTTGATTTGTGTTAGGCTTTCAAGGATTTTAGTGTTACCGCCTTTTCGCCCCGCCGACGCTCCAAGACAGCCCAGCAGGCCCCCAAGATCGGACCAAGTCGGCCCAAGAGGCATCCAAGAGAGCCCCCAAACAGCCCAGGAGGGTTCCAAGGCGGCCCAAGAGGCTTCCAAGATGGCCCATTTGGGGCTCCAAGAGGGGGCCTAGACGGGGGACCCGAACGGCGATTTCAACCCCTCTGCCCCAAGAAGCCCCTTGGACGCCCCAAGAGGCCCCCCTCAAGAGGCACCAAGATGCTCCCAAGAGGCCCCAAGAAGTTTCCAAGAGCACTCCCCAGATGACCCCAAGAGGCAAACATCATTGACTTTCCTTAGATTTAAAAGAATTTTGGCGTTTTTTCGTTTTCGGCTCCCTGAGGTCCAAGAGGGCCGAAGAGATCTCCAAGATCGGCCAAGACGGCCCAAGAGAGAGACCTCTAAGAGAGCCCCAAAACGGCCCAAGAGGGTCCCAAGACGGCCCAGGCGGCCTCCAATACGGCCCGAGAGGCCCCCAAGACGGGGATGGGGAGTGGGGACGAGCGGACATTTCGACCCCTCGGCCCCAAGAGGCCCCCATGACGCCACACGAGACTTCCCCCCAGAGGTCAATGCTTCCCAAATTTGACCACTTCAGTTTGAACATTCGCCCACATCGATCCCGAACAGTTCGCAGGTCCCACATAAGGGCCCCCTTCACCCAAGGCTAGCCCCAACGTTCCGCGGGAGTTCCCTCATCACAGTGCGTTCTGACGTTCGGGATGTGGAGGGAGGAATGCAACCTGTGGGTTGATACACAAGAGGAGATAGGGAGGGGAGGGGAGCCTATCCGACTCCTTTAGTATCATTGCTCCAACCCGTCGCCTGGAGGGATGGATATCTTGATGTCGATGAGAGGGATGAGGAGGCCAAGGAGCAGGGAGGAGAAGGCGATGGAGGATGAGAAACAAGATGGCTAGATGTGGAAAAGTGGAGTAAGAGAGTGGTCGAGGATGAAGTTGGGAGAGAGGAGGAGAATGAGCAGCAGAGAATGTGGAACTGAGAAAAGTGGGAGGAGGTATAATGCTGAGAATTGGGAGGACAGAGAGCGGAATTAGCAAGGGGAGTAACATGTGCGTGACGTGATGGAGGGGGGCCTTCGCCCTGGCGATCTGTGGCGATCTTGGGCTTCGAGATTTGACCCTGACCCGTCCGGCATTGAGCCGCTGCCCGGGTCTGCGCTAGAACATAAGCGCGCGAAGCGCGCGCGTGGTCCCAGTGTATACATTATAATATGCACATACATCTATTCACAACTTTCCACCAAAAAGCTTGCACCGAGGGGTTACCGTTTATTCTTGTAAAGAACTGGGCCTGAGTGCCGCTCTGGTCGCCGTGTGGCCGCCGTCGCCGCCTCGTCGCCACCCGTCGCCGCCCGTCGTTTGGGCCTGCGTGCCGCTCTGGCCGCCATGTGGCCGCCGTCGCCGCCTCGTCGCCGCCCGTCGCCGCCCGTCGCCTGGGCCTGCGTGCCGCTCTGGCCGCCATGTGACCGTCTTCGCCGCCTCGTCGCCGCCCGCCGCCTCGTCGCCGCCCGCTTCGCATTGCTTCGCATCTATGCATTGCTTTGTATTGTTTTGCGTTGTTTTGCATTGCTTTGCATTGCCTTGCATTGCTTTGCATTGCTCTGCGTTGCTTGGCCTGGCCTTGCATCGCTTGGCTTTGTTTTGCATTTCTTTCATTGTTTTGCTTTGCTTTGCATTTTATTCCGTGCTTGGCAATGGTAAGCATTGCCTTTGCATTGTTTGGCCTAAATTTGCATTGCTTGGTATGCCTCGTCACTGCTTGGCATTGACTTGTATTACTCGGTATTGCTTTGTATTTCTTTGTATTGCTTGGCAATCGTTGGCATTTGCTTGGCGTTGATATGCATTGCTTTGCAGTGCGTTGCATTGGTTTGCGTTGCTTGGCAGTGCTTCGCGTTACATATATTGCACCACATGTATTGCACCACCGAGATTGCACCACATGTATTGCACCACCTAGATTGCACACGTTGGTTGCACTGCTTCGAATTCACCGCCTAGGAAGCAACACATCACAATGTGGGGTCCACACTGGCTGCCCTGCGGGTATTTTTCTGTGTATGTGTGTAATGTATGTATGTATGTATGTATGTATGTATGTATGTATGTATGTATGTATGTATGTATGTATGTATGTATGTATGTATGTATGTATGTATGTATGTATGTATGTATGTATGTATGTATGTATGTATGTATGTATGTATATGTATGTATGTATGTATATGTATGTATGTATGTATGTATGTATGTATGTATGTATGTATGTATGTACGTACGTACGTACGTACGTATACGTACGTATGTATGTATGTATGTATGTATGTATGTATGTATGTATGTATGTATGTATGTATGTATGTATGTATGTATGTATGTATTTACATTTCTGTATGTATAGAACTACGGTTCTTTCCTGTATATACGTATATAGTTATATATGTGTATACCTATTTACATTTTTGTATACATGTATACATCTGCGTATGTACACACACGTGCACACATACATAAAGAGAGAGAGAGAGAGAGATATGGATCCATCGTTTGGGTGCCACACTCGGAGGTCTTTTCTCCATCGCGATGGGCGGCGCGTGACGCAATGCGTTCGTAGTGCCGTTGTCCTGTAGTCTGTCAATTGGCCCGTTGGCCCGTTCCTGCTCCGCGCTCCAGATATGGCCGGCCGCACATCCAGGGGCAGCCTCGAGGGGGTCGTTGCCAAGGCTCCACTCGGGCGATGACAGTTGGCGAACACCTTTCTCCTGCCCCTCCTCCTCCTCCTCCTCCTCCTCCTCCTCCTCCTCATCCTCCTCCTCCTCCTCACTCCTCGGGCCACCCCTGTCGGGAGGCGCCTGCTGTGCTTCAACGCCGATCCTGGCCAGGCCGATCCTGGTCCCAGGATCGGCGCGTGTGCTCGTGTGTGTGTGTGTGTGTGTGTGTGTGTGTGCGGGTGTGTGTGTGTGTGTGTGTCTTTCTTGGCCAGGCCTGGAGGGGGCGCACTCACCGATCCTGGGCCCAGGACGGGCCTGACCAGGATCGGTGTGGGTGGATAGCTGGCGCACCACGTGTCCAGTGATGCCCCGTGCCCGCCCTGCACGCCCTGAGGCCCGAGCCGCCCACGCGGCCGGCCTGCCTGCCGGCGGCCGGCTTTTTCCTTCCGCGCGGGCGGCCCCACAGCCGCGCGAGGACGAGGCCGCGCAGGCGCGGCTCCCGCCCTCGCGCTCTGCGGGCTCCCGGGCCGCTCTTGGGGCAAAGCCCCCTCCCATGTCCCCCTATCACCCCTCCTGTCTCCCGCTCCCTCCCGCGCCCTCCCTCTCCCCCCTCGCCCTGCCCCTCCTCCGTCTGGGGTGGTCCTTGCCCCCCTGTCGTATCCACCCTCCGCCGCGCACGCCCATCCATGCCGAGGCGTCCGGGCAGGGGGCCGTTCGGCTGGGACCGCTCTGCATAGCTCTTCCCTCCTCTTCGTCCTCTGCCTCTCCCATTTCGTATCGTTCGCTCCGCTTCTTTAAGGCCCTCATCACTAGCGCTGCTCCCCTCCACCCTGCTCCTTCGCCTTCCCCTTCTTCCTCCTGGTCAGCCGCGTCCTCCTTTCCTACCGTAGAGCCCCCCTTTCCCAACTGCGCAGCAAACGACGGGTCAAATCCTGCAAGTGCCATTTGGCAAGCTTTTTGGACACCCCGGTCGGCGGATAGAAAAGGAGTGCTAGGCTGTCAGATGTGGCGCGAGCGCACCCGGCTTGCCTCTCCCCCCCTCTCTTCTTTCCTACCCAGCGGCCATCGGCATATCCCGCCACTGTGCGTGGTCGGCCTCCAGGTGGTCTCCCAGGGGCCTCCAGGAGTCTCCGAGGGGCCTCCAGGGGGGCTTCGGGGGCTTCTGGGGTGGGACGGGGTCTGGCACCTGGTCTGGCGCACTCTCTGAGGCCGACCTCGTGGAACAGTCTGGGTGGGCACCGCTCGGACGTGTGCATTTTTTCTCGGCGAGGCCCATCGAGGAGCACCTTGTATCATCTGGCGAAAAACAGGCGCACGAAGCCGAAGCATGAACGGGGATTGGACGTCCGGGCGATGGCAAGTTAGATTTTTTTCCGCAGTCGTGGTCTCCTGGAGTCCAGCAGTTCTGGCATACCGGCCGTCTCGGTTTTCGAGATCTGATGGTCCCTCTGTCACATGTGTGACAGGGAATGGCGGCACTCCA